TCGAATTGTGTCGGTTTTCAAAAGATGGAACCAAACCATTTCTATTTTGCATAGTGATAAGGGGTACTGTAAGCTGTATTTCTGGAAAGTCTATGAAATTGCGTTTTGACTCCTATCTCCTCTTCCTAACTTAGAATCATTGTCCTTATTAACTAGGTAATAAACCACTTACTGTTGTTTGGGACATAAGCACATGGAAAAAAATTGGGCACAAGAGACTACTAAATAAACCAGCATCTATCTTGTCTATAAGTTTGGATGGGAAATATCTTGCTCTGTAAGTACTTGAGTATGTATGAAGATATTCCTTTTTTATAACAATGCTTACTGCCTACAAGTGACCTTTTTCTGATTGCGTTATTGTGATAATTGATGAGCTTAAGGGAAGCAAAGACGGGGATGTTTGTATAGTTGAAGTTAATAAGATGGAAATTCGCCACTGGAGTAAGAGACTTCATTTGGGATCTAATGTTACTTCATTGGAGTTTTGCCCAAGCGAAAGGTGATTGCAACTTAACCTCAACTCGATCCTTTCTCTATCTCTTTATATCTTTTGGGTTTCTCAGAGATTGAAGATGAATTGGAATTTTAAATATTTGGGGTTGTCCATGTTTATATGTAAGAATTAGTAGTTATAACTTGGTAAGAGGCTGTTTCAACTTTAGGATTTTTTGCAAATATGGTTTATTTTTTAAAAAGATACTGAAATACTTTAGCCATGCGTTTTGCTATTTAAGCAAAACAATGTACAACATAAATGATTTGCTCATCATTTATCTCAAATGTTATCCCACTAAGTCATGTTGTTGTTGTTGACTGGTTGTCCTTGTTGCCTACATTTTTTTCTGAGAATTTGATATTTTCAACTTCTACTTCTCTTAGCTGCTGTAAATGGATTCAAGTACTGTTGGTTACAATCCGACTGTTCAAGATATATTCTTAATTTTGGCTTGTTTAAAATGTGTATGCATATTCTTAAGTTGACTAATCATAATATTGATCGTTCGGTGTCTTTTTGCAGGGTTGTGCTTACTACATCTTCTGAATGGGGAGTCATGGTGACTAAGCTGACTGTCCCTGCTGATTGGAAAGGTCTCTCTTTCTCTTTCTTTGTGTTTCACATTCACACTTTTTGCATTTCAGATCTGAATTTGATTCTTAACCCCTCTTTTCACGTGCAATGCAGAATGGCAGATTTACTTGCTACTCCTGGGACTATTTCTGGCTTCTCTTGTGTTATTCTACATATTCTTTCAGAAATCTGATTTGTTCTGGAACTTCCCTGAACCTGGCAGAAAGATTAGCTCTGTATTGACTGATTCAAATCCGGACGAGAAGAATATGTTTGGAGCTTTCGGACCTCTAGATATGTACCCTGACTAATCTTCATCAGAAGTTAAAAGTATAGCATTTGCATTTGAAAGTAGCCACTGTGTACTAGAGCTGCACATTTTTAAGGTTGCGGAAGTTATTCTAGGAAAGATCATGGAGATCTTGGAATTTTCATAGGTCATTGACTTGTCATTTTTGTAATGATATGAAAGATGAACCTTTTTGGTTGCTAGTTTCAGTGACCACGTCTGGGACTTTAATATATAATATTTTTCCTATAAAGAGTTGATGCTGTGATGTTGCATTTGGTTGATATTCGGAGTTGCTAATTCGTTTTTTGATGTTTAAACTTTCAAATTGCGATGAAAACTCAAAAAAGTTGTAAGTGAATTCTTCTAATTAGCGGTATACATGGGAAGGCAGGCGAGGCCGGGCAATCGCCTCCAGAGGCCTGGCCTTTGGCATGGTCATGCCGTAAACCTCTGTGGTATCAATATCTTCAGGCCTTAAGTTATCAGCAGGGCTCCAATCAAAGCAATGAAACAGCCGAGCCAACGCCATTAGGACCAGTGTCACGCCAAGTGGTGCACCCGGGCATTTCCTCTTCCCAGCACTGAACGGCAAGATCTTGAAGTCAGCTCCGTGGCTAATTTCCACTCGGCTTCCATCCGCTGGTAAATGCTTTCAGGTCTGAACTCCTCCACTTGTCGAGGATGCCGAGATTAACACAATTTTCGATCTAAAGGATCAAATTGTGCACAAAATGGCGGAACTAACGGCAGATCCGTTCTGGGCTAACCGCCGCCTACGGATAATCGAGGAATACTTGCAGCCCTCCCGCGGCGGGGAGTATAGTATTCAAGTATTACAAAAGAAACTAGGGCAGTTGTCCGAAGGTGAGCCGCGGAATTCATATGTATACAAGGAGTTACTTCGCGCCAAGGAAGATATAACAATGTTCCGATAGAGAAGTCAAGTAAGAAGGGAGGAGGCTAGTCCCCGAAAATGCTCCGCCCGTAGGAAACTTTCTCGTTGGGGCTTTCGATTCTTCTGTTTTGAACGTCGTAATAAGGTAGCCATAGGGGAGGAACCCCGTGGCTGGATTGAATCCGAGTAAGGCCCGGTCTCAGCCCTTTCTTCTGATCCGATCCCGTGCCTCAGCTTAGCTTCAATCTATTCATTCGTTTTGATAGGTCAACCATTCTCTTGTTCTATCTTGAGCCAAAACCGCCCTAAGGCCTCGTGTTGTTAAGAGATGGGGGATCGCCCTAAGGTCTAGCGATCAAAGAAGAAAAGAAGTCATTCGAAACAGCAAAGGTTAGAATACACTCGACTGTAAAGGAGAGGAGCTTAAACGCCTCACTTCACTCTATTCTCTTGCGGACTTGTCTGGTCAATCGGTCGCCCTCTTCCTTTGCGAAGTTGAACTAAGAAGTGGCATCGGTCTTTTCTTTGAATAAGCTATTTGGAAAGATAGGGAACTTCTTTCTATAAGCTATTATTTGGTAGAAATGGAATTGGAAATGGGACCGGTAACCCGACTCTTTGAATTGAGTACCTACGACTGTGGAATGCCTATTTTATTAAAATAGGAACTCAAAGTAAAAACTAGACTTTGTCTTGCACACTGACTTCAATCGTATAGAGATTTCCCACTGTCTGTGTCGATACCTGAAAGTACTCTTCCCTTACAGGGGAAGCGATTGCCTACTTTCTATGTCCGGAGACACTTACTGCACTCTTTCTTATGTCAAGACAGACAGGCGGTTATCAGGATGTACTCAAGGCCCTTCCTAAGCCAAATGAAAAGTAATCTTCCATCCAGTAAAGTCAGTCCTAGTTCCGCGCTTCCCTCTTTTCTTTGGCATCGTATAGTAAGATGGGCTGTACGTATAGAGAAGGAAAGTCTATTTTCCTAGAGTCTAGCTAACTCTAACCCACTTGAAGAGGTTCTTCTTCTGCAGTAGCGGGTTTGGATAGTGATCAGTACCCCCTCTCCTTCTTCCCATAGAAAGCTTTTTCTATGATGGTTGACTGAACTTTAAAAGAATAGGCCCATTGAGTTATGCTACTGGACTTTAGGCATCTTTTTTTATACCCCGAAGCGGAGAAGCTGAAGATGGATATCGGATACCCATTCTATAGAGGTCGACCTTGAAGATTCGTCGTTCATCCTCTATTCGAATGTGAAGTGTTGAGATATCCGGTCTGGCCGGCGAGCAGATATCTTACTCGTTCTTGCATTACGCGCTTTTTCGAGTCAGTCCTATCTTATTCATTAGAAAAAGCCGGTTCATATGGAACGAAGGAAGTGAAGCTATAAGAAAAGACTGATGCCCCCTGTTTTTAAGGAAGATCGATAAAACCAAAACCTTCATGTTATCCGAATCCGGCGGTTATGCATCATGAGTTAGGAGGGCTTTCTTGATAGAGCGTTTAATGCCAGGAGTCCCGAATTCTTCTATACAGTTCGAGAAGAGTTACGAAAAGCCATCGGCCAATAGTGCCCTAGTTACCTGCGGGTCGGGCCGGTAAGCCTTTGGCTAAGCTAATGTTGATCAATTGATTAGAGTGAACTTTGATCTCCTTTACTTGATTGATATGAAAGTGAACCTTGGCTATCTTACGAAGAGTCTAACTCTCTAAATCTAAAAAGATTGACACTAAGCGAAGAATGCAGACTGGAGACTAAACCAAGGGCACTTCTTGAAAGGTTCCTTTGATAGAAGATCGGTACTTAAAGTAAGAAAGAGGGAGAAATAAGATAGTTATTGCAGCTAAAGGAAGCTAGCCACAAGGAAGAAGAACTCTTAGACCCGGATCCCAGCCCCCCGCGGAACAGGATTTTCTTTCTCTTTTCCAAGCCCGGTTATTAAATCTATGCTCTACTCAATCTCCGTATACGCTTCCTTCCTTGATCGACCCAGAATGTACTATCTCTAGCCGTGAATTCACTATACGAACATTTCACATATGAAAATCTATTGCACAAGTATGTTATTGAAATAAGTCCATGCTATCCGCTACACAGGGTTATTCAATTCCGTTCCGTTTGATTCAAAGGCAGGAAGCCAATTCGATAGAAGAAAGGATCTATTCCTCTCAATAGCAGCTGAGGGATATGAACAAGAGCTAGATCTCCCTCTTTTTCCTAAGTGAAAGTCCAGTTCGTCCCCGGGATTTCGAAAGAAGGGCCCCAGTCTTGCTTAAGACATAAGGGGGTGTTCATACCAAAAGACCAATTCGTCTTAACAGAGTCTATACCCGGTGCAGCTAAGAAACAGTATAAGGCGCCATATACAGTCCATCTCATCTGAAACAGTCTTAAAGGGAACTTTAGGCCATTATAAGCCGTATTCTGATCCTCATGTAAGTGATTCACCATATCATGCGTGAAACGGTGGAAGGGCCCTCCGCATTGTGTGCATCCGAATGGTAAGACCGCAGCTCAGACCCTAAGAAATTGGAGCCGAAGAGGAAGTCTTTCAAGGCTGTTCCGGGTATTGAATGATGAATATTCGGTAATAGTTCGCGAACCCTATGTGGTCGGCCTTCTTACCAGTCTGCCTCCTTTCTCTTGATGGAATATATCACTGAGCTCCAGCTTTGCTTGCCTTCTTCGCCGGCGCTCGCCGGCCCTCATTTCACTCCTAAGGCAAAGGGGTGTACTCTTCTTTTTTGTCGATCGAGCCGCTCTCCCTCATTCCACTCGTCCAGCCCTCTTCACGAACTTGTATAATCGATGCTACGGAGATAGCCAACTCTATTATCAAAAAAAGAAGGAAACGGGCGAAAATTTGGCACCAGATATCCGGAGGTGTGGAAAGAGCAGCTGTCAAAAGCGGAAAAACCATCAAAAAACGACGATTGTTCGTGGAGGTTTCTACAGAAAGACCCCTTGATTCTGGCAAACGGATCACAATTACAGGTACCTGAGAGCATACCGATGGAATGAACGAAATACGAACAGTTAACATAATATGGTCATAAATCTTAGGTTGTAATTTAATCATGAGCGAATTTGTTGATGTTGCACCCATGAAGTATGGAAAGTGCCAAACATTGGGAACTACCCGGGGGGGAGTTAGGAACAGGAACAAGGAAAAGCGAGAACCACTTAAATAGAGGAATCGATTGTATTTCGTCCTTTGTTCACCATAGCAACTGGGGATCAAAAAGCACCAAATTTGATGACTTATTAAAGGAAAGATGAAGTAAGAGCATGCTATTGAAGACGTTGCAACATATGTCGAGAAGGCCTCCGTTGATTGTGTACAAACAAAATACGAGTCCAAAGGCAGGCTAAGAAAGGGTTTAGCTAATGGAGATATTAACTCTTCCGGGAACCAGTATAACGCGTAAACCATGTCAAACCAAGACCAATCAATATCCGAATGGAACGGATTCGAACTTCTCCTAGAATAGTTTCCAGTGCGAAATTAAATTAATAAGAAATTTATGAGTAATTCAAAAGAAAAAAAGGATTCTATTCATTAACAAATAGGTGGAGCATAATTGAATCACTACATTGACCAGGAAGGATGCGAAGCTATTAGAAGCTATTGTTACTTACGATATTTCTTATCTTACGATATTTCGAGTTGGATGAAAAGAGCGCTCCTAAATGAATCCTTTCTCAACTATACGATACCGCCAAATGAAGGGGACTTACTGAGCGGATTGGCTATGCGGGTGCCCCTCGATACAAAGGAATTGACCCCGGGCAGCAGGTAAGAGACAAAGGAAAATTTCTCAATCTCCTACAAGACGGTCTAGAGGATAGTACCTTGGACTGAGAGAGGATTGACTTGCGGCTTACAAACTAGAACTGATTTAGCTCTCTTGCACCGGACACTGCGTTAACGCTAGAGCTACTAGTTATAAGCTTCGTTCGCACACTCCTAATAGCTTCACTTCTTATTGCTTCACTTCGTTCTACTTCGCTTGATTCTCATGCCAGTGGACTCGTCGCTCAGCTTTAGGCCTTATTAGCTTCATTTCTGAAGTGAGCATGAAGTCAAAATTTAATAGATACTGAGAAAGCGTCTTTCGTGATGAAAGTTGCAAGTTTGGATTGAGAAAGAAATCAGCTAAGCGCAGCTGAATCAATTATTATAGGAGGCGTAGGGTAGAAGCAAGGAGAAAGGCAGGAGCAGAGTCTGAAGGAGAGAGCGAAATGAGAATGTAATACTTGGAACGAGTAGAGCTATATAGGTTGAAAGGAAGAAAGTTGCTAGACTTAGAAGTTTTGATGAAGTCAAGCAAAGGAGGTAAGCTCACATACTGCTAGCATTGGTCCAGCAATCTTAATTCCGTATATAAGCAAGCATAATGCTTACTTACGGAGAGAGACCTTCTCTTTTTATTATTGTGGCTAAAGCGTTTAGTCGTGGTTTGAATGCTTTGTTAACTAATCGCTTAATTGTGCCATATGCCCTTCCTCGGAATTGCATCCTTATTACGCACTTGGCGCTTATATCAGAAATGTAGAAAATCTTCGCCAATTTTTTCTGGGGTCACTCGGATACCGGACACAAGCATCATTGGGTTTCTTGGGAAAAGATTTGCTACCCTACTAAAGAAAATGGCCTTGGCTTGCGTAGTATGCCGGATTTTCTCGCTGCTGCATCTATGAAATTATGGTGGAAGTTCGTGGCTACAGCTACAGATTCTCTTTGGGCGGCTTTCATGCGCTCGAAATATGGCTCGAGGCATTACTTTAATCTTATGACACCAGGTTCACAATTTTGACGGAGATTACTTGCGTAGGATGACACAGATGACTATATTGCTGTTCTTGTTCGGAATGGAGAGTGTCTTTTTTGGCTAGATGATTGGCTTGACTCTCTTCTATACTAGGGCGGGGGAAGAGAAAAGATTCCTTTTCAATCCCATAAGGGGTAAAGGTATATGTGCTTTTTTGAGACTTCTTCCTCTTAAGGGTAAGGAGAGAAGAAAGACAAGAAAGAGGAGACTCTTTCAACAAGGCTACGAGTTCTGTCATACTTTACTTTAGAAAGGATGTACTACAGCAATCGATATTTCACGATCAGGGGTGGAATACTCTTTGTAGTAGCGGTCGTTCTATATCGTATTAATAATCGAAATATGGTCAAAAGCAAAAATCTCTATTTGATAGGGCTTCTTCCTATACCTATGAATTCCATTGGACCCAGAAATGTTACATGGGAAGAATCCATTGGGTCTTCCAATATCAACAGGGCGATTGTTTCGCACCTCTATCTTCCAAACGGAAAAAATATCTTTGAGGGTTGGTTCCTGAATCCGAAAGAGAGTACTTGGGTTCGCCCAATAACTAAAAAGTGTAGCATCCCTGAATCTAACTGGGGTTCGCAGTGGTGGAGGAACTGGATCGGAAAAAGGAGGGATTCTAGTTGTAAGATATCTAATGAAACCGCCGCTGGAATTGAGATCTTATTCAAAGAGAAAGATCTCAAATATCTGGAGTTTCTTTTTGTATATTATATGGATGATCCAACCCGCAAGGACCGTGATTGGGAATTGTTTGATCTTCTTTCTTTGAGGAAGAGGCGAAATACAATCAACTTGAATTCGGGACCGCTATTCGAAATCTTAGTGAAACACTGGATTTCTTATCTCATGTCTGCTTTTCGTGAAAAAATACCAATTGAAGTGGAGGGTTTCTTCAAACAACAAGGTGGTGAAAGTGAGGCGGGCTAAGATTCCATTCGAAGTAAGGTAACAGGATTCGATGTTGCACCATCTTCAACTCTTATCGAGATCCGGAGTTTTTCGAGAAAAGGCCCCATTCTTCAATATCATGATTGGGTCGCCCAGTCCAGATCATGAGTAAATAGAAAATCGAAAATGTACATAGCTGTTCCAGCTGAAATACTTGGAATAATTCTACCACTTCTACTAGGAGTAGCCTTTTTAGTGCTAGCTGAACGTAAAGTAATGGCTTTTGTGCAACGTCGAAGGGGGCCTGATGTAGTGGGATCGTTTGGATTGTTACAACCTCTAGCAGACGGTTTGAAATTGATTCTAAAAGAACCTATTTCACCAAGTAGTGCTAATTTCTCCCTTTTTAGAATGGCTCCAGTGACTACATTTATGTTAAGTCTGGTCGCTTGGGCCGTTGTACCTTTTGATTATGGTATGGTATTGTCAGATTCGAACATAGGGCTACTTTATTTATTTGCCATATCTTCGCTAGGTGTTTATGGAATTATTATAGCAGGTTGGTCTAGTAAATTAGGGGGCGGCCGTTCGGTCGCCTATGATACTAGGAACAATAGGTCAAAAATGGGTTTGTGCCGCAGGTGTTGAACGATATACTCTACACAGGTGTGGGCTTTTACAGGGTTAGGGCTCATAAACCCTTTCTTTCATTCATCAATAGGGCCCTGGTCGGTCGCTTTTCTGGGCCGAGATGGATAAGTGGAAGTCATAAAAAAGAGATCTTTCTCTTCGCACCTCAGATCAAGAGGAAGGGTTGCTTGTCCTATAACTATAATATAATTAAATATAATTAAAAAAAAGATATAATATAAATTTTAGGATTCGCTGTTTTTTAACCGGCTTTTATTCTTTGTCAACGCTACTAAGGACCTATAGAGTTGCCTTACTTGACTTATGAAAGATAATGAGAATGGGTTATTCAAACAAAAAGGAAAGGGCCCTACTTAGTTTCGCAAGCCTTTGTCATTGTCAGTCAACTAAGTAAGGCCTGAGTCCCCCTTCGAATCCGTAAATCTGAAGAGCATGCCGCAACAAAAGGATGGTCCCCTACGCATTTCATTTTTTCCGGAAGGGAAAAAAAGTACCCCCCATCATAGTGAACCTCTCCTTGTGATCGGGATGAGATAGATGCCTCCCAGCCGGGGGGCGGATCAAATCGGAGTTTCCTTAGGTAGCCACCGACCTACAATTATCCTTAAACTTTCGTGCTTGGTTACGAAGAAGCGAACAAAGGTACGCTCGGTTGCTGTCTTGTTCTCTGTCGCGAACTGGGATTGCTCGCCAGCTAGGTCAGATTGAAGCAAGATTTAAAGAGAATATATTACCCTCAGTTGGGGACAAGGGGCGGAACGACTTCTCGATCTACTTACTGCAACCCAGGAATGAATAAAAACGTCGTCTAGGCGTTCCCTCTTGCTCCGATCTCCCCTACGTCTAGGACGTTGTCTGGGCCAAGAGCCATAGTTAGTTGCTGTTTCCATTTGGTTCTTTCTTTCTCATTGTTGATACCGGCAAGACCCAGCCAGATGATGTCTGTTGGTTGGTAGTGAGAAGACTCTTAGTACCTGCATACCCAAAAGGGGACGCGCTGGTTAAATCTTTTTTATTTTCTTGCTTTCCCTTAGCAGCGGGAAAGGGGTCTATCTATCTGCCTAGCTTTGGTAGATTTCCTCCAACGCAATCCACAGAAATTCCACGAATCCCTTGGTGGAATAAGTCCGACGACTCAGCAGCAGTGCGGAATTTAGTTTCTCGTCTGGTGGATCTGATCTATAGTTAGGGGACAATACATACCAAAAGGTTCGAATAAGAAACGCGCAAAAGAGTATATAACCAATTCTTGCTCTTTTGCAAGAATTTCTTTAGTAGCGTTGAGAAAGAATAAAATAAAAGCCAACCAACTCTTGTCCAGTAGACATTCTGAGTGGAGCAACGGATATAAGAAGAATAAGAATCGGAAAAAACCAATCACTAACCTACTAAAAAACATCAGTACAAGACGGCAGTCATTGATGGGAAGTAAGTTGGATAGCGGGCCTTCCTCGTTCCCTTAAGAAACCTTCCTCTTTCGCTTCTAACAGGTGAGATAAAGCAACCAAGGAAAGCCTCGCATCAAGGCATGTCACAGCAGGGTCTGCACTACTCCTGTCAACAGGAGTAGTGCAAAAGTTGATGCTATCGGTAACAGCCCCAGCGCGGAGAAGTTAAGTGCAAAGCTAGGGTTCAATCCCTAAGCGCCCATCTGTGATGTCTGAGCCGGTCCCCAAGAACAAGGCGATCGCACCTAAGAAGAAATCTGAAATTGAGTATTTTACGTTTGTTGAAGCAGTGCTCTAACTGGCCTACTAATCTATATTTCTATGTGATATGATTTACAAAAAAAGAATGATAAATATAAAAAATAGGGAGGGAACTATTTAAATCAAAGGCTACAGCGTCCAGTCGTCGTTCAATGAGCTCAGCTATGAACGAAAGCTAGACCTCCCCCTCTTACTTGGCGGATTCACATTCGTAGGAAAGGTCTGTTCTTTTGTCTCTTTCCCTCAAGCGAAGTAACCTATTAATAATAATATATCTCTGCTTCCTAGATAGATAAATAAGAAAAGGCTTAGCATATCCTATATAGATAGAAATCAGAAGCATGTGCTCAATAAGTATTCTCTCTTGCCTAAAGTCCAATCCATCTACGAATACCGTTCTGTCTTTCAATACT